AAAAAAAAAAGGTTGTAACTTGGGCTCATTTGTTTTAGCCTCAACACACCACAGTGCCATCTTTCTGATTACTGACAGCAAAACAGAAAAACTAGGCCCCTTAAAGGACCCTGAGTGGTAAAGTCAAAACAAAACACAAAAACGGTAACTCATTATTATTTTCAAATATTTACTATGCACCTATGGAGAATATTACTGTGCACAAGAATTAATATCTATAAAAACCAGACCAGTAAAACAGTATGGAGGTAACTCAAAAACTTAAAAATAGAAGTACCATATGATCTAGTAATTCCACTACTGGATATTTACCCAAAGAAAATGAAAACACTAATTCAAAAAGATATATGCACCTCTATATTTACTTTAGCATCATTTACAACAGCCAAATTGACAAGCAGTCCAAAAGTCCACCAATACATGAATGATTAGAGAAAACATGGTATATATACATATACAATGGAATATTATTCAGCCATAAAAAGGAATGTAATCCTGCCATTTGCAACAATATGGATAGAACCAGAGGGTACAATGCTAAATTAAGTAAGTCAAAGAAGGACAAATATAATGATTTCACTCCTAAGTAGAATTTAAGAAAAGAAACAAAGAAAAAAAGAGACAAACCAAGAAACAGACTCTTAACTATAGAGAAAAAAACTGATGGTTACCAGAGGAGAGGTAGTTGGGGGGATGGGTGAAATAGTTGAAGGAGATTAAGAGTATACATATCACGATGAGCACTGTGTAACATATAGATTACTGAATCACTACATTATACACCTACCTGAAACTAATATAACACTGTGTTAACTAGATGGGAATTTTTTAATTTTTAAATTAGTTAAAAAAAATAAATAAATAACCAGACCATCACAAACATCAAACACAGGGTAAATCTCTTACACATATACCTATTGAGTCTTTCCAGAACAGAGTCGTCAGCCAGTGAGATTTCATCCAAGAGAAAAAAGCCATCCTCCTTCATGGCCAGAACTAGAGGACCATCATGCCACTCAAAAAGTCTTGATGTATCAATTTCTTCCTACAATTTGGAAAAGAGGGGTGTGAAATTAAAGAGCAGATGGCTCCACAAGATTCTGCAGAAATTAAGGGTCTAAACATAAGGAAGAAAGCCTGTACAACAGGATGCTCATGAAGGCCTCCTGTAGACAAGTGAAAATCTAAAGATACATATCAAACCTCAAATCAAAAATCTCACCATAAACAAATTCCACAGCTGATTCATGCACAGAACCAACTGCAGTTCTTCAAATGAATAAACACATCATTTATTACTGGACAAACCTTGTCCTTTGGCTTCTGTCTCACTGGTCGCAGCCCTCCCAGGAAATCCGATGTCTCCATGTGTAAGTGGCAGTTAACAGAGTATAGTTTCTGATTTGCCAAGCCTGCAAACATCTGACAGACAGTAGTTTTCCCACACCTGTTAAGAAATACACACCAGATTAGTAAGGACCATAAATTCCAAACACACACCCACAAACACCCCAGTGAGCAAAAGAGGGGAGCCCTGGTGAAGGCCTCACTAGAGCAGACACTGCAGGCCAACCCAGGACCTCTGCACCCTGGGCTAGGGGTACCCTTCCCCCAAACACCCGCACCCTACAACGTTCCTTATCTAAAAAAGCAAATACTGCATGAATTTCATTCTTTCCTACTTCTAATAACAACAACCAATGGATGGGAGAGAAATCCAATCCTTACAGACTTTCAAGTGACAGTATCTCACCTGCTGTTCTGTATATGTCTATAGAATGAATGTCACGATTCAGAAGAATTACAAAGAAAAAAACCTGCTCTAATGATAATAATGCAAGAAACCTTTTTTTCCATCACAAAAGTCTGAAGGAAAAGTAAACAATAGACCTCTTACGTGCCCTTTAAAAAAAAAGAGGAAGGGAGAAAAGGAAAAGAAAAAACAAAGATTGTATTTCTGATAACCCTTCAGAGATAACTCAAGTACTCCCATGGAACTGAACTGATCCATCATAATGAGTTCCAGTCACAGAAGCAGAGGAACTTACCCAGTGTCCCCAACCAGTAGCACTGGTTCACCAAATTCCAGCGCCCTTCCTACCAGCATCGCCAGTCTCCGCATGCCCTCAGTCCACACAATGTGGCTGAACTCAGATTCCAACATGGATACCCGAGTGGACAATTTACCTATAAAAGGCAGAATAAATATTTAGCTTCTAGTAAGAGTACAACTCAATTCATTTTCTCTAGATATTTTGACCTACTCACTCAGTAATTTTAAGACATTTTCTTTGGAGAAAAGGGATTGAGGACACAATTTTTTCTTGAAATGTTTTTCAATAACTTCTTGAATCACATCAATTTCCTCCTGCTTCCTGACTCGGCCTGCGAGAAGCATAAATCCTAAAAAAGAAAAGAAAAGAAAAGAAAAGAAAAGAAAAGAAAAGAAAAGAAAAGAAAAGAAAAGAAAAGAAAAGAAAAGAAAAGAAAAGAAAAGAAGTCATCAAGTGTCAAGTTATAATACCAAGGGATGTTCAGAATACAGAACAGGAACTCTTATAAGCCTGCAGGTGGAGAGGGTATCTAAAGAACTATTCTGGACAATTGGGAAAACCTACTGCAAATAACCAAATTTGGATGCCTTGTGTCCCAGCAACAGGACTTCCAGATAGACCCAAACACAAATAAACATGTGTGCACCAAAAGATATATAGAGGAAAGTTCAGGGCAGTTTAATTCATAACAGCTAAAAAGGGGAAATAACCCAAACGTCCATCAACAAGAGAATGAATAAATATATTACGGTATCCCTGTACAACGGGTTACAATAAGAAAAAAAAATGAAGTCCTGATACACAGAGCAGCGTGACTGAACCTCACATTAGACTGAGTGAAAAGCCAAGCCTAAGGAGTACATACTGCATGACACGAGTTGAAGCTCAAGCACAGGCAAAATCAAAGCAGTGGTGATAGATGTCAAAGCAGTGGTTACCTCCAAGGGAGGTTAAGACTGGCAAGAGCCATGAAGGAATCTTTTGAGGCACTGAAAAATATTCTAAACCTTGGTCTAGATGATGATTCACGTGGACACATACATATGTAAAAAAAATAGATCTTCCTTGTACATGAAAAAATAGAGCACTGCATTCATTTTACTGTACGCTATACCTTAACTAAAAAGTTTTCCTTTTAAAGTTTTCTAAAAAACGTGTTCCTCCATCTATCTACTCTTTACCAGTAAAGAAAAAAAAAAAAAACTCTCAAGGGTTAGTTGTACTCTCCTTATTAAGGATTCTATTAATGACTCATTAGTACCTTTCAAATCAGAAGATTCTGAAATGCTTTCTTTCCTAGGATATAGAGAAACATATAAATTCTTCCCATGGATTAAACCAAAATGACCAATCAGGAGTCTCATGACATAACTGCTTCCTCTCAAAACTCTGATATTACCTGACCAAACCTGTCAGCTTTCTGTATAAGACAGAAGCACCACTATCCATGGTTACCGAGTTGTAGATAAATGGTCAACAGAGACACCACCAGCCATTTGCCTAAAGTCTTATGGGCACTGTGCCCCTATCTGACTCCTACATGGAGGCACCTAAACCAAAGAGAAAACTGTAAAAATCCAAACATATTAACACAGATGCCTACAGAAAAGAACCATTTTCAAAAGCACTTTGCACTTGAGGGAGAAAGACTAAATCTGGAATACCTAGTAAAATATGTATATAGATCACAATTTGGGAAAAACTTATTTTAATAAGAAAGTTAAATATCTAACAACTAAATGGTTTGAGAACATCCGATTGAAAACATACCATCATTGGCTAAATGCTGTAGCCAGTCATACTCTTTCTCAGTCTGTTCAGCCAATCTGTATCTTTCAGCCCATCGAAACAGATCACGAAGGGTGATGAAGCCCTGTTTTCCAGCAAACACTGAAGAACTTCTGCGATAGGACTATTACAATATCAAAACAAATGAAAAAGGGTGATGGCAAGCACACTGTACAACCTATATAAAATTTTTAGCAAACATAAGCTCCCATGAAAATGGTTCATCCCAGGGCGGCTGGGTGGCTCAGTCGGTTAAGCATCCAACTTCGGCTCAGGTCATGATCTCATGTCTTGTGGGTTCGAGCCCCACATCGGGCTCTGTGCTGACAGCTCAGAGCCTGGA